CCCCAAAACCCCAAAACCCCAAAACCCCAAAACCCCAAAACCCCAAAACCCCTCTGTGCTTCTCCATGTTGAAATAAAGAAATTTTGGTATTTAATTTCTTAATAAATTTAGTTCAAATGGAGACTAGAACAACGAACTGGAATATATCCCACTTGGTCGTATTTATCTCTCAATATTTCCAAGGTTTGTGAACTCTCTAGGTCTATTAACCTTCCACAGGTTCTGTTTAATAACCTCATTATTCCATTGCTCGAGGGCAATATCTTTGTTTTGGTTTATTTGAAGGTATTTTTGGGCAAGCTCTTTAGTCTTTAATTTGGAGTTAATAATTCTACCTTCTATTCTGCCTGATTTCCGGTCAAAGTAAGACATAGATCAATTTGCAGTGTCTACAGAGCCTCTATTCTTTGACGTCCTCACTTGCTTGAGGTTGTCCAGTCGTAAGTCAAGCTTCGGAATCTCATAAAAAGTATACTTCAAGGACCCTTGGTGATTTCCACTGGCTCTTTGGCTATTTTAAATATTTCTTATTGTACAAACTGGCTGACATCTTCTTTGAAGCTTCTGGTTTTACTTTTGGAGTGGTCTCACCAATATTTCTTGGGAGCTCCCTACTTCATGGTTTATCTTGAGAATCAATACAGTTATTTCCATGCTCGGAGGGGATTAGATCGTCATTTTCTTCATATTGAGCGAAGAGACTCCTTCTGTGAAAGTTAATCGAGGGAGACTCATTATTGTCTTTCTTTGGGATTTTGAGGTTTAACTTCTTCCTCAGCATTTCAAAGCGGTCGAGATATTTGACAACATACCTTGTCTTTATATTAGGCTGGCTAGAAACTCTTAAATGCTTATTAATATGCGTTGAGAATTTCATTTCGCTTACGTTAGTAGTGGTCAGTTCCTCCGATTTTTTCTTAGGGTTTGAAGATCTAGCATTTCCTCTATTGGTGTTCACCTTCCGTTTGACAGCTTGAGGACGTAATCTGTCTCTTGACTCTAAAGGACTCTTCTTGTGTTCCTTTTTCTTCTCTTTTTCAATCATATCTGTAATAGAAAATTCTCTATCAAAAATGCTCTTTATCTTCTCCTGAGGTTTAGGGATGCCAAAGCAGGATAATATGCCATATTTCTTCCATTTCTTATCTTCTTTGTAGATCTTCCGCATTCTTTGGAACTTTTTGTGCACATTTTGCCGAAGTATGTCATTATCCATTATATAATTTCAATTTATAAACCTAGTGATGGGGTTTTGGGGTTTTGGGGTTTTGGGGTTTTGGGG